TCTGATCATGAAGGAACAATGTGGTGGTCCATCAAGCTAAGTCAAAATAACTTCAGCATAAATGTTTTTCAAAGTACATTTTACTAATCTCCCAAGAAGGACTTAGAAAAATCCAAGTACTGCACCCGTAAGATGCCTAATGTTAAGCAAACATAGCCTCCTGGTGAGTCCCCTGACCCAGTTTAGCAGGAAAAATGTAGCCTAAATGGCTAAATGAGTGAAGACAATTCACAGGTTGTTGAATAAAAGCCAGTTCAATGTTGGAGGACATCTGCCAAAATGAGGATCGGAAGGCTTAGAGCAACTCATTGTGAGCCACATTTCCTTTCAGACTAATGAGGCTATTCCTGGTCTGTGACAATAAAACCATGTCATCTGCATAGAAAAGACCTCTAGTTTCCTGTTCCCCACAGAAAAGAGTAATTCATTCAGCTCGTCCAAAAAACTTTCAAGCTATAAAACACCCATTAAAGGGGGCAGGGACCAGAATTCTGGTGCTGAAGTTGAAATTGTCAGCTGGTTCATGGAGACTCTGCCCCTACCCACTCTGGCCTCGCACTGTGCTAAGGTGCAAATTCTACATAAGCACCTGTGGCCAGGTGGGGACCACCCCAGATTTTGCAGCTTAGCCCATGATTAGTTTCTGTCCACATGATTAGTTTCTCTCCATTGAGTCAAAGACCAAAATCAGTCATGGCTGTTGCAATTCTTATATTGTTCCTGACAAATTTCTGTACAAGTGGTATGAATAAAAAGGTCAATCATGTGGAATAAATGTTCCTGAAATCCAGGGGCTCCTCATACAAAATATCAGTCTGCAAACTCCAGACTTACAATTTTAAGCAGGGGAAAATTGACAGGTGACTTAGTTGGAATGTAGCTCAATAAGTCTATCATTTGTAGAGCAACAGAGAGTGGAGGTGGAAAAAGAGTCCTTTATAAATAGGATTATCTTCATTCAGGGTCCATTCCACACAAGATCATGCTGTAGAGTTAAAGAGAATGAGCCATACTCAACCCTGGAAATTTGGAAGGTGCAAGTCAAGACATGATCTAAGTGAAAACTACTCATAAGACTGCAAATTTATCACTAAAACAGAAGGTAAATCTTCCATCAAAATTTCATATGGAAGGCTGAGGGCAAAGCATTTCCTGCCAGAAGATGCAAGTCTCATCCTCTGAGTTTGAGTCCCTAGGGCCCCCATGAAGGTAGAAGGAGAGAACCAGCTCCACAAAATTGTCCTCTGCCCTCCATCCATGTGTGTAGTGCATACACAGGTGCACACACACGCACACATTCAATAATTATAAATAATTCAATGTAAAATGATTACACACTAAAACAGTAATATTTGGGTATTTTATGTGAAAAGAATATAGTAGTCAACGTCTTCTTACTTGATGTCTATATTGCTATAACAGGATTTCTGAGACTGAGTGTTTATAAAGAGGCTTTGGCAAAACTCCATGTTTGAGAAGCCCCCATCTTGTTGGCCTCAGCAGAGAGCCATCAGGTTGTATCACAACCGAGTGTACGGTATCAGGTGATGAGAAAGAGAGAGAGAATATTACAAGACAAGAGAGAAAACAGGAATGCAAAACAAGAGAACTAAGCTAATTCTATAGCCATCTTCCCTCATGGTTCCTAACCCAGTCCTGATAAGCAAGCATTAGTCCTTTCTAAGGCGGGTGACTTCAGTAACCTAATCCCACTAAACCACACCTCTTACAGGTTCCATTATATTAGGGACCAAGTCTCCAGCACATAAACCTTTCTTTGGGAGACAAACCAGGTCCAAACTACAAAATCCAAACTGATGCCATCTTTTTTGTTTTTTTTACTTTTGTTTAAAAAGGAATAAAGAATTGGAAATTGCTTGTGTGCACACTGTGGCAACCATAGCCTCAAAAGAATAAAATAAAATAAGAATAGACTTAACCAAGAAAGTAAAAGACTTCTACAATAAAAACCAAGAAAGAAAACACTATATTATAGAAAGACTTCCCAAGCATATGGCTGAGTAGAATATTATTGTGATGTGGCTATGTTTCTAAGAATAATCTACAGACTCAGATGCAGTTACCATCAAAATTCCAATGGCAATCTTCACAGAACTAGATCAAACAATCCCAAATTCATATGGAACCACAAAAGACCCCAAAGAGTCAAGGCTATCCTAAGCAGAAGGAGCAAGGCTGAAATACCACAATACTTGCTTTCAAATTATACTGCAGAGTCAGAGGAACAAAAGCATCAGGGCAATAGAGCAAAACAGACATGTAGACCGGAAAAAAAAAAAAAGAGGAGCCAGAAATAAGCCCAGACAGCTATAGCCATATGCTTCCTAACAAAGATGCCAAAAACATATGTTAGGGAAAAGATGGCCCCTTTAACAGTGCTGCTAGTGAAAGCAGATATCCACAAGTAGATGAAGCCAGATCCATGTCTCTGGCCATTCTAGTTTTCCTTCTGCTATGATAAAACACTGAGCAAAAGCAACTTAGGGGAGGGAAGGCTTCATCTGGCTTGTGCTTTGAGGTCACTGTCCATCACTGAGGGAAGTCAGAGCAGGATCTCAACAGAACAAAGCAGAAACCATGAAGCAATGCTGCTTGCTGGCTCCTTCACAGGCTCCTGCTCAGGAAACTTTCTTATGCAGCACAGGACTACTTTCCCAGAGAATGGCGCCATCACAGGTTCATCTAATAAAGGTAATCCCTTCCACTGAGACTCCCTTACCAGATGACCCTAGGCTAGGTCAAGTTGACAGGTAAAGCTAACTAGGATACTCACCCAGTACAAAAATCAATGCCAAAGTGATCAAAGACTTCAGTGTTGGATCTGAAGCTTTAAAATTCCTAAGGGAAAATACTTCAAGATATAGGCATAGGCAAGGAATTTCTGAAAAAGACTTCAATAGCTCAGGAAATGATTCTAATAACCGACAACTGAGATTACATGAAATTGAAAAGACAACATAGAATAGAAAACAGCTGACAGAGTGAAGAAACAGCCTACATAATGGAAGAAAACCTTTTTACAGGTGTTTAACAGGAGACTAATATCCAGAATATATAAAGAACTCAAAAAATTAAACATCAACAATATAAATTCTCCATCTAGTAAGTGGACACATTAAGTGAACAAACAGATCTAAAAAATAGAAATAGCCAGTGAGTACATGAAAGAATGCTCAACTATCTTAGCCCCAAATGAAACACAAATCAAACTATGCTTCATTCAGGTCAGACCCATCTCACCTGAACTGAAATGGCTATCATCAAGAAAACAGGGATGAGAAGGAAGAAGGAACCTCTCTACACTTTGATAGGTGTGCAAAGTAGTGAAGCCATTGTGAAAACCAGTGTGGAGGTTACTCGGGCACCTAAAGATAAATATAGGCAACCTATCATATACCACTGCACAATATGAATACTTGTGTATCCATGATTACCACAGCTCCATTCACAACAGCCAAGACACCTAATCAGTATAGATGTCCATCAGTGGATGAATGAATGAAGAAAATGTGATGTGCTACAGAATGGAGTATAATGCCGTCATGTAAAGGAATGAAATTGTGCCACTCTAGGAAATGAATGTACCTGGAGATCACCATGTTAAACAAAATGAGCCAGACTCAGATAAATATAACATGTCTTCTCTCATCCATAGTCTAGATTTCAAGTAAAAAGGGAACTGTCTCAGTAAAGGTAGATAGCAGGAGGAGGGAAGGATGAGAGGGGTGAATATGATCAAAATACATTGTATACATGTATGAAAATATACTGAAAAACTGCTTTGTATGAAAATATATACCAATTAAAAGTATACCTTGGCTTGCAAGAATGTATTGTAGTCTTTAAAATCTCTAGGAATAAATTCTAAATGTTCTTATCATAGAAATGCTAAGTGTGTGAGCTGTTTCTATTAGTTCAGTTCAGTCATTCCATGCCATATATATTTCAAAGCATTCTGTTATATGCCATAAATATATGATATTTGATCTTTTAATTAAATAAATGTTTTAATCATTTAGACACAATAGACTAGCCAGCTGGGGATGGCAAGAGAGAGAGTAAAAGCCCTGGCCTTCACATGTTCCTGTGTCTGGATGAGCCCAGCCTGCACCGCCAACCTGCGCACGTAGTTCAATAAGTTAGTAAGCCCCCTTTGTTTTGCCTCTAGAGAGTGGGAGTTTGATCATTTGCAGAGCTCAGGCTGAGGCACCTTGCCTCCCAAACACACACACCGCAAGCAGATTGCCCCCCTCTTACTGCCAGGCCCATGTGCCTCTCTTTACCGGAAGTCCATTCGGTGGGAGAGCATTGTCCACACTACCCACAGCAGTATGCTGCCTGGGGTGAAACTCAAAGGGCTAAGGCCCTGCCCTTTCCCTTTCCAGGCCACTGAGTTGTGCCTCTCCCTGCTGTGCTCTGCAGCATTACCACGGAGCAGGCCTGAGGAGCCAACCAGGTGAGGCTCAGGAGTGACCTTAACCTCCCTTGACTGGCACACAGCAGACACAACTTGAACTATTTCTTGTAAATGCTCAGGATACAGAAAGACAAAATCAAAGGAAGAAACCAACAAATACAATCATATAAGTAAGGGCTCCCCATGAAACAAACAAAAGAAGGCAGCTTTATAGCTGGAACCAATCAAGCATGGTATGTACTTTCCTAGACTTCCACATCTAGGAAAGCTCACCTCTTACATTGCTTGGAGGAGCACCTCAGACCACTTCTAGTTTGGAGCCGCCCAATTCATGAGTAACTATTGGCTCAAATAAACTCTTTATAGGCCTACTGTGCCTCCATGTATCTTTCAACATCATGGAGATTATGTTGGGCATCTATTTATTACCTGTTTGCTGTCCCTCTATCCTCAAAGCCAACTCCCTGAGAGCAGGGACCTTGTCTTTTTTTTTTTTTTTTTTTTTTTTTTTCTGTGATTATCTCTTTCTCTGCTTGCTCACTTTCCTGTCTGGCACATCACCATGGGTATTTCAAAAACGTTTGATAAGTATATGAACGAACAGAAGGAACAGCTTCTGTGAGACTCTGTCCTTGTATTGTATTGTATCATACTGTACTGTACTGTATTGTGTTGTGTTGTATTGAGAAGGAAAAACTATTGGACTATTGACTGAGAGTAAATTTAGAGACTGTTAAAATAAGCCTGTGTTTTCTTTCTGGGCATTTTTTTGTTGTTCTGGATCACTGGATAACAGGTACTGCACCTCTACCAGTGGAAATAGACTCTTCCCCATTTGTTTGGGTTTTTGGGTGTGTGTGTGCATGTGTGCACATCTTCTGCATGTGTGGAGGCACACTGTGTGGGGGTGTACATAGATGTGTATGTGGAAGCCCAAGGCTGATGGATTATCCTCGGTGGCTCGTCCACCTTGTTAATTGAGGGGGAAATCTCATAATCAAACCCGAAGCTCACTGGCATGTTTGGTCTCACTAGGCAGTTTGCTCTGAGGCTGGTATAGCAAGTGGACAGCTGCCCCCTCCCCACGCAGCATTTCCATGAGTTCTGGGATCTGGACACTGATCCTTACACTTGGGCAGCAAGGGCTTTCACCACTGACTCACCTCCCAAGTCCTCTTAGCTCTTTTTTAAAAAACAAATTTTTTTTCAAAAAGTTTTATTTGAAGTCTCAAGTATTTGAAACAGTCTACTTCACTTGAATGGAGCTTGTCTGCCTTTATTAGTCTTCAAAGAACACTGTCCACTTCCAAAGTAAATCAGTATTCTGAACTTGCTCCTCTCAGTCTTTGTTCGCAGCTCCTGTAAGCATTCCCATCAGAACTTGAGGCAATTGTAAGGAAGCTGTTTCTTTTTAAAACGCAAACACCATCAAATTTCTAAACATACACACTGCTTGACATATTTGGTTTGTTTCCACGTTTTTCAAGTTTTAAATACCAAAAACAAAAAAGGTGTAACTTTAGACAAAGTGAAAAAATTAGAAGACAGACTTCCTTTGCTGAAGTATTTAAGTGACTAATTTGTTAGATCCAGTTTAAAATGAACACTACAAAATTTCTTATTAGTACAAATCCATGGATTGTTCTGCATACACATGTACTGACCAGTGGCTTCAAAGGCATGTTTTAATTATGAAATAGAAGGAAAGAAAATGCATCTTCAGACCCATCATGAACTACCCCACCACAAATACTGTTTCATTTGTGTATTGTAGGGTGTCTATTTTATAATTGTGTATTATAATTGTGAACTTCCTTAAGACTTGTTTTTTTACAGAGTGTGTGAGTGCTGGCATGGTCACCAGTGGGTGCAGTACTGATAGAGACTAGAAGAGGGCATCTGACCCTGGGGTGGGGTTGGAGTTACAGACATGGTTAGCCACCATGTGGGTGCTAGGAAGAAACTCAGATCCTCTGCAAAGGCAGCAAGGGCGCTTAATGCTGAGCCTTCTCCACCTCTCCTGAATTATGTATTTATTTTTATTTATTTATTTTTTATGTGACAGTTAAGTAGCTCTCTAAAAGCATACTCTCAAAGAAATGGTATCATTTCCTTGAAACCAAAAGTGTTGAATTTGGAGGCAGCTTCCGGGTTTTACTGGTGGCAATTACTCACTGAGCTCTGTAATAGGCAATAACCTGGAGATGCAGCCTGTGGGTGTTCCCAACACTCACCTATATAGCTCAGAATAAAACAACGGAAGTATACATTGCACTGTGCTTCTGTGGCTTATTTAAATCAAGATGCGTAAATTTAACTTTCATGTAAGCAAATTGTCCATTTGTCTGATTACAGTCAATTAACACACGGCTCTTACATATCCTTTACTTGACCCGTGTGAAATATCAATCTAAAGTCAAGATGAGGAGAGAGAAGGAAATGCCAACCACCTTTTCAAGCTCCGGAAAATGAACACGTAAAAGAGCACTAGCTTGTTTGCTGTCTGCGTGAATTTTCTAGCGGCTCTGAGGAAAGCACCACGATCCATTAGGAGGAGCAGTCCCATGACTCAGCTGGCCACAGAGCAGGAGCAGACATCCCATAAACCACTTATGCTCTGACTCACTAACACTCTCCTCTCTGCGCTCGCCCCTCCCTTGGAGCCCACAGTCGAAGATGGTGGCTCCGCCGTCACTGTCGGGAAATCCCTGCTTCATCAGGCTTCCAAGGGCGACCTACCCCTACCACTGCAGAACCTCATCTCTCCCAGATAAACCAGAGGTTCTGGCACACAGGATCTCAGAGAAGTCCTCCCTCTTCTAACTCCTCTTCAGGGAATGGGGACCAGCACTGCCCACCCCCCTCCCTCTATAAAGATGTCTCCATTCTAACTCTGAAATTCACATTCACAGTCAGCTAGGGTACCAGTCACTCTTTGTGTTGCAGCAGCCTGGGGCTTCCAGGGAAGTCCTTAAGTCCTTCCTGCCATCCCCTGTACCCCTTTGTTCTGAGCCTCAGTTTCTCCACATGCCCCACACTGGTTTTAAATGCCTACCATGCTCTAACATTTACAAGGCAAGGAACACACATCTGTAAGGGACTGCTCATAGCGGACCCTCGCCCACCACATCCTGGCTCAGCCTCTAAGCCTCTGAAAACCCCATAAACTCTACTAACTCTAACTGTTTGCACACATTTTACTGGCCTCCCCCACTTTTTGCTCTTCTGTTCCACCTGGCCATTTCTCCGGTACCACGCCTCTGCACGGCATCCTGTATCTATCCTCCAATCCTGGCTGCCTCCCTCAGCTCTCTGCTCCAACACCTGAATCCCATCCCATCTCCTGGGGTGGGTGGGGACTTGTTTTCCTTATCAGCCCGCCCTCCTCCTTGGTTACACAGAGTCCTTTGAGCTGAATTCTTGGCAAGATAGAGCAGTGAGTGTCAGCTCCAAGCCTGGGGTTTATTGGTCAGAAAAAGTCTTTGGAGCTGTCTCAGAGATAGGTGAAGGGTGACCAAGCAGGAAAGAAGTAGAAAGGACCCCAAAAGAAGGAGAGGTAGGTGGCTAGAGAGTCTAGTATGTGACTGGAGATCAGAGAGAGAGTGGAATAAGGCCAACAGCAGCCAAGAGACACAGGGGAAGAGTCAGACCATAGGCCTGAGATCTGTGAAAGAAAACACGGGCCTGGCAGTGACCCAGCGTCACCCTTCCTGAAGATCTACAGAGACAGAGGTGCCCAGGAAGTCTCATTCTGGAGACTGGAAGCTGAACTGAGCAAGTCCAGAGGGCATCTGAGAAGACCCGTCAAGCCACAGGGGGGCTCAGGGCTCACTTGGCCACCAAGGGTGGCTCCCCAGCCTCTCAGGGACTGCCTGGGGCCAGCAGAACAAGGCACAAGTTAGAGAGAAGACAAAGGCGGACACTGCTCCAAAGCAGTTCTGCTTGCTTTCTCTTTGTTACCCTTGATCTCCAGGAGCCTTGCCTACGCTGGTGACTAGGAAAGCCATCACCTCCAAGAAGACCCTCTCTGGAAAACTGAGCCTCTGTCTGGTGACAACTATAAACCTGTGGACACAGGACAAGCACCTGCCAGCTCTTCCGCTGGAAGCCACCTCCTGATCTTGGAGGTGTACGAGGTCCATGGAAGTCCCTGTGTCCAAGGGATTGTGCTTGAATCACCCCGCATCAGGATCCCTGATCACCACCTCTGTGTGCCCTCTGGGTCCCCAGAAACTCCAGGAAGAAAGTACACCACCCTCTGCTGGCATCACCCTGGGCACACACAGGGTGTTCCTCCCAGCAGGCTTCAGGGCAGGCCACGGCAGGCCCTACGATCCACAGAGACATGGAGAAGGAGAGTTCAGGGTACAGTGAGACCCCAGAGAAGCTGGGCCTGTCCTTCTCCATTGACGCTATCCTGAAGAGGCCCACAGAGAGAAGAAATATGCCAAGACCACAAAGCATAGGTGGAGAGGACGCTAGGCACACAGCAATCCCAGGTTCCAAGCTAGAGAGGCTCCCACAGGATCAGCCCCAAGGTAAGTGATTTCTGGTCATTTTCTTTTGTTCTGTGAGCTCTGAATGGTCCTTGTCAATCAAACAGGGGGCTGTGACATCCAAATGGATAGTAGGTTCTAGGCCCAATGCTTTTTAAGCCTTGCAGTCTAAATCAGAACGTTGGTATTCAGAGTGCAGAAGCCCATTGGCTCGGTCCATTGTAAAATGCAGGGGCACAGAGCTTATTCTTGTAATTAGGCTATGGCTAGGAATTGTCAGTCACATTCACTCCGCATTAATGTTATGGCAGTCACTGCTCTTTCATTTGGGCAGAAATTATGGTAACTGAACTGATAGGGAAAGAGGTGGACAATGTCACCAAGTTACAACACTAGAAGTCACAGGCTGAACTCAGGGTTGGGCGCACCCAAACCCTTGCTTCCAGCACATTCTCCCCACGAGCTGAGCTCAGCTTGCATGATTTCTAGTAGCTGAACTTTACTAGGGTTTGTCCTCATAGATTTCCCATACCCACGTCTGTCGCCACACCAGTGCATGCACCTACATAAGTGAACAGAGAGTTTTCCGGCTCTCCTTCAAGCCAGCATCCACTCAGGGCAGTGGCTACCCCTTGCTGTGGGAGCTGGGACAGCCAGGGTCAGGGGAAGGGTGTCTCCATCCTGCCTTCGTCTGCTGTGTGACTTTAGGGAAGTCCCTAACATCTCTGGTCTCAGCTTCACTCTGTGACACAGTTCGGGGGATGAAAGTAGGTGCTTATGAAGGTCTCAAAGGCCATTTGGTCATGAGTCTGTAAGCCTGGAGTCTCTCACAACAGATCTGGTCTTTCCCATTTTCACCCCGTTCATCTAAGAAAATGCTAGGCAGGAAACTCAGGAAAGTTCTTGATGGCATTGCCTCCCCACAAAGAACCCTGCCTCCAGCCAGTCTCCCACAGAGGTTCATTAAGGGGCTGTGCTCGGCTGCAGGCAAAAGGACAATCCAGGAGGGATGCTGCCAGCAGCAGCAGGCTGGCTGGTTCCCTAAGGGAAAAGGGCCTTGGGCTCAGCTTTCAGAAGTTCACTGGTATCTTCCAGTCAATTGAGGATTCACAGAAGCCAGTTCACTGGGGGCTTTAACCTGTATCATTCCCACTGCTGCTGTATAGATGAATACCACCTTCCCCATCACAGTAGGGGGAGGGAGTGCTACTGATACTGATAGCTAAAGAGACTGCTCTTTTTAGGCTGCCATTGAAGATTCTAGCATGTTCTATGTGTATGTTCCCGCTAAGCCCAGTGCAGACACCAGAAAGTGCTGGCCAAAATAACAGCCACAGCATTGAAGGGCGCCCCGAGGCCTCATAGCACTTTCTCCCTTGTTCTAGCTAATGGTCGCATGTGTGAGCCCCACTTTGGAGAAGGCAACACAAAAAAGGAGAGGAACTCCCCATAAAAACTGCACAAGCAGTTAACACTGAGCCCGGGAGACCTAAGGCCGTGAATGGGAAGTTATTTCTGGTCACGATTTAAATCCATATAGCCCTCAGGCTAGAACTCAGTTTTCCCAACCCTTGGAGCAGGTCCATCTGGCAGTTTATGACTGTGGGGTCTCTCAGGTGAAAAGCCGCAATGTCAGTAGTTCTGGAGTTACTACCACCCTAGCTGCCTGTGGTGTCAAAGGTGCTGGTTAACCAGTAGTAGTCAGGACAGACGGATCTCTCTTCAAATGTGTACCTTTGAGCAAAATAAAAAGCACAGATGAAGAAAGCTGAAGCAGACACAGTACAAACAAGTCGGCAATGTGGCAGCGAGTACAAAGGTGGCCTGTCCGTGGGCCGTGCTGGGTGCACAGGGCCGGGACTCAAGAACACTGACTGTTAAGCCCAGACATGGTGCCAGTGCACAGGAGGACTTTAAGCAAATCACTACCCCATCTGGGCCTCAGTTTCACGTTAACATGAAAGAGCAGAGCTAGATCTCCATAAGCTTCTTCCCAGCTCTGGTATGCCTTGACTGATTCAACAATAAATCAGTTGTTGGAAAACCCTAGAGAAGTCCATGGCAGCCATTTTTCCCTAGCAGAGACTTCCTCCATGCAGAATGTCCAGTCACAATGCCAGGCGGGAAGCGAGCAAGACAGATAGGAGGTAGCCCCCGTCAACCACCCTATCCCCTCCCTACCATTCGAGGAGCCCCAAGTGAAACGCAGGATGCGTTGACTGGCCTTAAGTTCCTTGCATTCTGTCCCTCCTATTGGACAGAACCCCCCAAGAATGGAAGCACCCAAGATTAGCAGCAAAGCTTCAGGTTCTTCACTGTGCTATTTTACATGTACAAGACTCGATGGAGTGGCTGGTAGACACAACCTCCAGTGATGGTTTGAATCTGAAACCTCCCCCACAGGGTCATGTTTTGAATTCCTGTTCCCCAGCTGGTGACACTATTTTGAGAAACACTGGGCCCTTAGAAGATGAGGCCTGACTGGAAGAAGTATGCCACTAGAGTGGGTCTCTGAAGGGTGTACCTTGGCCCCAAGTTCCTCTCTCTCTGCACCTAGCCTATAATGAAGTGATCAGTCCCTGATGTCACATACCCTGGGCTGCTCCACCATGCCTCCCCTGCCACAGTGTACTACAGACCTCTGAAACTATGAACCAGATGGATTTTTCCTTTCCTAAATTTTCTTGTCAGGCTTTATAGTCACGGCACCACAAAAGTAACCAAGCCCACCACCACCACCACCACCATGGAAGGAGCTTGGATTAGCTGTGGCATTTCAGGTCCCATATCCAAGTAGGTGACTCTAGCTCAAGGCAAGGCCACAAATCTGTACTCTAGGAAGCTCCAAATGAATCTCGTGGTCCAGGGCATTCTTTGAGGAGGCTGGGGCCCAGAGAGGTAAAGTGGTTGTTCAAATTTAAAGTTCATGAAGAGCCAGAACCAGGCCTGTCATTCACGCTCCCAGGCCAATCTCAGGTCTCAATGCCAATCTCAAGATCCTACACATACCTGCCTGCTTGTCTCTGCATCCATTTCCCATCACTCTCTCAGACCCCTTCTTCCTACCCATAAGGTGTGTGCTTCTCAACCTTCCCTCCCTTCAGATGCCCCACTTCAGCCTTTGAAAACCATACCTCCTCCCATGTTCTCTTCCCCTCCCTCAGGTTAGCTTCCTAACCTCTCTCCTGTCTGACAGTGCCCTGCCTCCATAATCACGGGAGTCCTCCATCCCTTCTGTGTGTGTGTGTGTGTGTGTGTTTTGTGTGTTTTGTGTGTGTGATGTGTGTGTTGCATGTGCATGTTTGTGTGTATGTGCATTTTGTGTGTGTGTGTGTGTGTTGTGTGTGAGATGTGTGTGTTGCATGTGCATGTTTGTGTGTATTGTGTATGTGTGTTGTGTGTGTGATGTGTGTGTTGCATTGCAGGTTTGTGTGTGTGTTTTGTGTGTGTGTGTGTGTGTGTGTGTGTGTGTGTGTGTGTGTGTGTGTGCATATGTCCTTCTCTTCTGAAGGACACTAGTCACTGGATTCATGCCCACCCTAACTCCAGGGTAATCACATCTTAAGAACTTTAATTATATCTACAGGGACTATTTTCAAATAAAATCTCATCCACTGTTAGGAAAAGTTTGAACTTGGACATATCTTTTGGGGCAGTATCCCACCTCTCACAGGTCTCTCACTTCTGGCCCCTTTATTTTACTCTCCTTCTTCTTTCTTTTCTCTTCCCTCCCTTTCTTCTCTCCTCCCTTCTCTGTCCCTTTCATGTTAGCCTTCTCCTTCTCCCCTGCATCTCCTGGAATCAGAGACAGCTGTTCTTCCCTGGACATCTGGAGATGGACCCTGTGACCAAGGACCACCGTGTCTTTCATCACTTTATGACTGTTGGCTTTGGCTGATTGACAAGTGAACCCAGGGACTCCCATCAAAGCAGACAGAAGGCAGGAAGACTCTATGTTTGTGACTTTTGCACATCTGTGACAGAATGCCTGACATGAACAGCTTATTGGAAGCTTGTTTGGGCTCACAGTCTCAAAGGATTTCATCCATGGTCACCTGGCCCCATGCACTTGGGCATAACACCATAATGGGAGTGTGGAATGAAGAGGTTGTTCCCTTCATGGCAGGAAGTAGAGGAAGAGGAGGGACTTAGAACTCTGTATACTCTTCAAAGGCAACAAATCCAGTGACCTACTTCCTCTGGCTAGGCCCCATCCCCCAAAGTTACAACAACTTCTCAAAGTAACATGGAGCTGGCATATTCAAACCAAAGTAGATACAGTGTTGGATGCTAGTACTTCCTCCAAGGGGCACATGGTTTTGTCTCCCTCCATTGGATCCCATGGTTCCCACCTCTATATCCCCACTACCAGAGCCACAGACTAACTTTAAAAAGGAAAGGTTTTAATTTTGGTTCAGTTTCCTGGGCTTCAGGCTACAATGTATTGGCCCTCGTAACCAGGAAGCAAAAGTGAGAGAGAGGAAGAGCTGAGGTCTCCCCCTACCATTCAAGAGCACAGCTCCAGTGAGCTGAATACCTACTGGTCACTGCTTCCTAGAGTTTCAGAACTTCACACGACCATGGGCTGAGGATCCGAGCAAATGAGCCTGTGAGTCTGGATGCAAACAGTAGCAGAAGCCACCTCCCTCCTGAAGAAGGCTCCCAGGGGAGGCAATGGTTGAAATCTCTAAACTAAGAAGGGGAGAAAGCATCCCAGGAGGCCGGATGAGGCCTGAGAGCTGGAAGTAGGCCAGCCCACAATAGGTCTGCTAAGCCAGCAGGGGTAGGATATTGTTACTTTGTATTCCAACAGGAATGAGCAATCATTTTGGAGTTTAATGCTGGAAAATGTACATGGCCAATATCAATGAGAACTCTTTGATTATAATTGAAAAAAAAAATGTCTCCAGAGAACTAAAATGGAGAGAGAGGTATGTGCAGCCTTGAAGAAATCTAAACATTCTTCCACACTGGCCATGGAAAGGCCAAGACCCAAAGCCTTCATGACCCAAAGAGTTCATGATGGGAGCCCAACCCTAACA